ATTTTATACTTAAATCCAAAATGAATAATTGCACTCAAAACTCATCACAATCCCTGTCTGCCCTTTCAACCGTCAATTAATGCGCACTCGCATGATTTTTGTGGCAAATTAAAAGTGGCATGTGCCCCAATTATGACTGTGTGTGACCAAAACACTTACATTCATCTGACCGCAAACGAAACACGCAACGCTCGCGACGCTCAGCGATTGCTGCTAGCTGCTGAGCTGTCTGCTCCAATGTTGGTTTGTCAGTTTGGTTGGCAAGCGACAACGACGGGCGATTAATTGCAACCATTTCTCATGAAGAGAAACAATAGCTATGAATACGAAATCAATGTCAGTGTATGCGTGAATTTGTTTATATGTATTTGTGTCACCAGTTAAACGGTTACAAAATCGTAATATTGAATTTTCCCTCAACTCTCAATACATCACACACAGTTTCCCACAGCTCAGCAAAAGTATTTGAATGAGCAAGCGAATGACGTCGCCGCTTACAGCAGAGCTGTTGACTTCGAGCAGCGTTTATCGCCGGTGTCAGCATGTCACCCGCACATTTTACAGTTGATTTTCCAGCCAACAAAATGTGACAGCCAATACCGCTATCCGTGCGCACCCGAGCAACGAAACTCCGAGTGCTCAATTTGCTATGCAGCGTTAATGCAGCAGTGGAGAGCGCGCGAGACGAGACGTTCGCGTAGAAATAAAATAAAAAATTTCTGTCATTTGTAGGTTAAAAACGAAAAAGCGAGCGAGCGAGCGCGAAAGCGCGCGGGTGATGACTTGATATGCACAGCATGTCATAACCCATATTTTGTTACAATGAAGCTGTGAAGTGTGGCAGCCGGCAGTGAATGTTCGTGCGCTGTCCGTCTGTACATTCTATCGATAGTTCCCCTCTCGCTTCGTGTTCGCGTAATCAAAGCGCAACATTTTCCTTCAGCAAATTTTCGTAATTTCTTTATTTTGATTATTTTTTCCTGCAACGGAAATGAACACATTGCAATGGCACAGGCTTCAGCGTCAGCAGCGACGCCATAACCAATCAATTCTTCAGGGTGGCAAGTTGACTTGCAGCTTTGCCGGTTGCAGGACCAACTAACCGACCCCACAGCGCTGCTGCCGTCAGCTGCGCAAGGAAATTCAAGCGCTATATCACAGCGCACTTACTTGTGAACCCCTCTCCCACCACTACTCGTGCAAGCTCCGACGTGTAAATGTTGCAAGAACGTAGCACGCTGTGCACCATGAATGTTGCATGAAAAGAAAGGCTGCAAAGGCCACATGCCTGTATATATATATATGTATGTATGTGATTTAAGAAAATCGGAAGTGCTGATTGAAATCGTTTTGGCGTGAAATCAATCATCGCGTTCACATTCGTTAAGGATCTCAAAAATTTCATTAGTGTCCTTAATGTGATTTGTGTCAATTGTCGTGATTACTTGCCTTCTCTCTTCTGCATAACCAGCAAAAGTGGGCGCTGCTGCTGCTGCTGCTCATGATGTTCAAATGTGGCACCATTTTTTGCAGCAAACTGTATAGTAGTCAAGTTTTGGTATAAGAAAGCTTGTAGAAACTTGGTATTTGAAACAAAAATTTACTTTCATTCAATAAATGTGGGAGAACTGATGTCTGTGCATATTGTGAAATAATTGCATCAAATATTTTTCCCGAACACAGCAGTAACTTAAAATAAAAATCGATATGTTCATGTTATCGATAGTTACCGAACAAGAATATCGATTTTTGTCTTCATATAACATAATAATTAAAGAGTTGATAATATACTAGATATTGTAGGCCACCAGTTAAGCTAATATATTTATATTATATTAGGATGCAATTATCGACAATTTAAGAAATATTGATACTTTTTTAAAACAAAATTATCGATTATTTATATTATTACTTTTTTACTGTATAATTTTATTATAAGAATCCACTTATCGAGCTTTAAAAATTTTATAATTTTTTTGTTAAACAAAATTATCGATTTTTTATTTCTTTATTTAAACCAAACATAAATTGTATTATACATATACATATACTTGCATACATACGCATGTACAGAAAGTCCAAAGTGCAATTGTTACACTATTATTGTAATGATATGCAATTTTTTACATAGAAAATGATCGACTGAAAAAATTATCGATATTTAAAAAAATATTATCGCTTTTTATTTTATAATTTAATAAAGTATGTAAATATTAAGACTCAATTATCGAGCAATTGAAAACGTATCGATAATTTTATTTTAAAAAGTATATGTAAATATTAGTAGTCATATGTAAATATAAATTTAGGACTCAATTATCGAGCAACTAAAATATTATCGATATATTTTTAAAATACAATTATCGATTTTTTTATATTTTTATTTTAATACTGTATACATGAAGAACAACGAGAAATTGCAATATTGTAACTATCATATTGAATTTTTCAGTCTATATAGAAAACGGTCGATTCGAAAAATTATCGATATTTTAATGCAAAGATATTAATCTAGTAAAATATAATTTTTTTTTAGTTTTGGAGAACAATTTGAAAATTTTTTTATAGCTCAAGATCAATAATTTAACGTCAAAATACAAGAAAAGTTTGCTGATATGATTTTCGAACAAGCTTAAAAATAAATAATTTTTATTTAACTTCTTTCGATTTCTTATTTCCGACCTTTAAAACAAATCCGATTACTGCTTTCAAAAAACCCTGCTAAAGTCATCACTAAGCTATTTCTTTCTAATGAACTTCTCTGCATACTTCTGCTGTGTTACAAATAACCACTCACCCCCTGAAGCATTCAACGTTCCACATTCATCAAGTGCACAATTGTAAATTGATTTGAGAATCCCAGCAAACATATGAAAGCTTCAATGGCCAAAATAATACAAAAAGCAGGGGTAATAAATAGAAACCTCATAGCGAATATTAGAAAACTATTCCGAGTAAAAGCGAACCAACAACAGCACGAAGCGGGTTTGCGATTCTAATAAGTAATGGGATATGGCAGAAAAAATGGCTGAGGAAATAAAAAACTCACACGTAAACAGAACATATCAAGAAAATAGCTGTAAAACACAACAACTGTGGAAAAATGCTATAGCAATAGCAACAACAACCACAACATATTGAGTGTACAAACAACAAATGCAATAACGACAAGACATAATCAAATAAGCATGCAAACCGGATATGAAAGTCAAGTGGTTGCGCCGCAAAGGACGGTTGAGGACTTGAAAAGCGAGGAGGGAAGCAGTTGTTGGCAAAAACACCCCAGAAAATTTGCAGTATTTGCAATGTTTCTTTTTTGAAGCTGCAGCAGCCACCTTCATCTAATAGCATTAAAATGTAAATCAATGCTGCTGAGTATGAATTGTAAGCAATCGAGAAAGCGTACATACCAGACGAGCTTACTTCTAAGGGCTCTGTAGGGAAACGTTGTTGAAATTTTAGAATCAATAATTGTTGCAAGATTTGCAAGTGGTCTACTTTCTGCTAGAAATTGCTGCAAACAATCTAGAATAAGAAAAATATTTCGAAATTAAACTAACAGAAATCCCGAAACGACCACAATAGTATACGTTACCAAACATTCGAGTTACGTAACAGAAATGGAACTGAATTTATTAATAGATACGAATTCTGATCATAATAAAATTCAACAAACAATTTTAGCAAATACCTTATATATGAGTTGCAACAAACACAACCCTGTACTACGTATTTCGAGTAATAAAATTCTGGAATTTACCACCAGTACAACATATTAAACCAATAATTTAGTTATACTACTTGCGTTTGATGAACTTTTATTGAAAAATAATGCAAGTATTGAGAGATATTGTCACTTAGTAGTTTCGGGATCCCGATCTATTCTTTTTTTCAATCCCGAAATTTCGGGATTTATAAAAAAATATTTTAAACCCTCCTAAAATCTTTAATAAGCGTCATTAAAACTTTCGTGTAACAATTTCCTGCAGGGTATGTACTGTATACACATTCATCAAAAAATCCCGGCATTATTTTGCACCCCAAAGTTTGTACAAGTGCTAGAAGTGCATGCTAGTTGATTTATAGAGCTTTTTTTGCACATTTTTTTAAAGCAATCACAATCAATGCAAGTGAATTTTGTTTTGCTATTTGTTGTTGGGCAAGAAAATCACAAAACATGAGCGCTGGTTATTGCTTTCCCATAATAGCGGAAGTATTTTAATTTTAGGCTGTTTTTGTTTTAGATACACGTACATATATCACAGTCATGATTGCAATTGTTTATACAAGGATCTTTTGTGGCAATATTCCTGTTGGCTATTTGGAACGGAATCATAACTGGACTGAATAAAGTTCTTAGTCAAATGAGAAATGTAAATGCGATTTGTTTGAACACAAACCAAATTAACAAAAATTTCACTCATATCCAATTTATTACTACATTTATTACAAACCTCGGAAATTTCTTTGTATGACCCAAATTGACACATGATGAGTTCAAAGCAAAATTTCAAGCTTTCTTTTTGTCTCTTATTCCAACACGATAATTGCGTTTGCCAGAAAATTTTTATTTCCAGAGTACTCTGTGCCTTCAAAAGCACGTTTCCAGCACTTTCAGTTGTACTCGTACAGCTGTAGAATTAAATTGCTTGAAATCAGAAATTTTCCGGAAATAATTTTTTTTAAAATCGTCGTTTTATTCTCAATCTACAGCTAAATATCAGAGAGGTTGCACCAACTAAAATATTTAGCTAACCCGTTTAAGCGCGGAGTTAAAATGTCGTTTACTCAGAAAAGAGAAATTTTAATGTTCTTGAACTACTTTTAATCAGAATAGCGCAAAATAGTTTATTTCAACTGACTTGACTGGTGCATTAATGAATTACTCAGTATTTAGGGAATTCTCTTAGCATAATTATTTAAACATAAAACCATGAATATAATTTAATATAAATATTAAATATATAAAATTTGAAAAACAAAGTTTTGGTCACACTTACCTTACTTACATATATTTTTCTCTCGGTTTCTCTCTATAGCCATTCTCAGTAGAAAATTCATGGAGAGTCAGCATTAAGTTAGTTGTTGTAGTTATTACTCCCTCTTGTAATATATTTGACTATTAAAATTTTATTTTCGCATTAGATTAGACTTCGCAGCACTTAAACATTACAACACTACCGACAAACGTAACGAATTTAAGCAAACACTTCACACACGATTTTCATGGACCGATCAAACAAGCTACGCATAATTAAGAGAAATACGATTGCACTAATAATCACTGCACAAAAATTGACACACACTATCACTTGTTGGAGTGGAAAACTTCGCGAGAATGACGAACTGCAGCAACGCATTATAAGCCCGAATCAGCCGAAGCGATGGAATCACGTACTATTAATTACTGATTTATTTACTTTTGTGTATTGTATTTTCACTTATTTCCACGTTTTCCACTTTCTTGATTTATAAAATAATATTATATTTTAATATAATAATTTGCTTACACTTTTACTTTTCCAAAAGTAGAATTTAGTTCAACTTCACACAAAGTTTACTAATTAACACTGTGCACTGGCAGCAGAAATATTTTATGTTGATAGCGTGACCTTGTAACTGTTGTCCTTCATTGTTGCTGGCTTTGACTGCAAAGAGTTGAAAGAGAAAATGCGCAAAGTAAAAACAAACAAAAGTCAAACAGCAATGTAATAGTATTTTTTGCGCAATAACAACACACTTATTATTAGAGTGTGAGATTTTTATGCTAAACGTTTATGCAAAAGATATTAAAAAAATATAAATGGACATCACATAAAAATTTATTGCACGGTTTGAGTTGACTTGCATTTCGAGTGAGAGAACTATTAACCCTGGAGGTTTACTAAGCCGCTTTGAGATGACTGGGGTAAACGCAGTGTTGTGATAACAGAAGAGGGCACAATAGATCATATGTCGAAGTGCACTCCTCAAACTTCAATATAATCTAATCTGCTTTACATTTTTAAACCTATTTAACTCAAAATAAAAATCGACATTTTTCTACTATCGATAATTATCGGACAATATTATCGATTTTTCACAATTAATTATTTTAGACCGAGAGTGAAACTATAATGATATTAGGAGCCAATTATCGATACATTAAAAAATATCGAAATTTGTTTAAAACGAAATTATCGATTTTTAATTTTTATCTTTGTACTATATAATTTTGATATAAAAATCCCATTTTCGAGCAAATTAAAAATTATCCTTATATTGTTATTCTTCAAACGAAATTATCGAAATTTTAAATTTATATATTAATACTATTCACATGTAGTACATATACTATATACATAAAAAACAAAGTGATGTTACAATACTATTATAGTTATCATATGTAATACTTAAGTCCATAAAGAAAACGAGCGATTAAAAAAATTATCGATATGTTTTAAAAACAATAATATCGATTTTTCTTAACTAATTAACATAATAGTTAAAAACCTTATTAAATACTGGATATTTTAGGCCAAGAGTAAAACTAAAATATTGATATTCGCATCCAATTATCTAAAATTTAAGATATATCGACATATTTTCTATTAAATTGTCGATTTTTTATATTTTTATTTTTATGCTGTAAAATTTTGATATAAAAATCCAATTTTCGATCATTTCAAAAATTATCCATATATTTTTTTGAACAAAATTATCAATTTTTTAAATTAATATTTTAATACTACTACATACATGTATGCCCATATATTTATATACATAAATAACCAAGTGAAATTGCAATACTATTATAGTTATCATAGGCAACATTTTTGACTATTTAGAAAACGAGCGAATGAAAACATTATCGATAAATTTATCGATTTTACTATCGATATTTTATATTTTTATGTTATAACTAGGTCTAAATTATCGAACAATTTAAAAATTTTCGATAAATGTTTTGAGAAAAACATTGATCGATTTTTAAAATTTTTATTTACTTTGCCGTACATATTTTCGTCTTTAATTTTATGCAACCATTTTTAAGTTCATGTCTTTTATTTATGATTTTTTATTGTTAGCATTTGAGGGGCTCGAACTGCTGCTTATTTTGAAAGCTGAATTTTTCAAAGACGACTGTTCTGATTTTTTAAGGTCTTCTATTGTAGGAAGACATGAAATAAACCCAAATTTTTCCTAAAAGCGGACTCTACGACTTTGGCAATTTTATAAAGACTTATGTATGTAGCTAACATAGTTAGCGAGCACATATGTAGATGCATACATACATACATCACAAATATTATAGGAATCGAGTGTACGAAAATTACGTGACACAAGTCTTTTTAAGTGCGATTGACGCACAAATTCATGATGTCATTTGATGGAAATCTAGGGAAGTTCGTTCCTGCATGCTGCAATCTTGTCTCTGTCGTTTTTGATCACATGATAGAAAGAGCCTACCATTACTGCTTTATACATAAATTGAGAGAAAAATTTTAAAATTATTTAATGTTAGATTTGATTTGTTAATTATATAAGAAATAACTGAGGAACATTTGAAGATTTTGCTTATGTATTATATAAAGCCTTTTTATAAACCTTGAGAAGGTCTATACGGATGTATAGAATGGAATCAAATATTTAGGGGCAACAAGATTAGACTAACACTCTTAATTAATCCTTCACACTCTGATAATGTAATTTTTAGTATTACATATAATTTTTGTAGCTCTTGTACGGTGTTAAATAATGAAATTAAAACGCTATCTTACATATTATATTTAAAGTAAGAAAAAAGAGTAGTATGTAAGCTCCAATCTTTCATTAGCTAACATTCCGAGCCCTGGTCGTTGCACTCACCGCCACATCAGTTGCAGTTCAAAAAATATTTGATTTTTTGCTTTACTCACTAACTGTCACTTTATATCATAAATACAATGCTGATGCAAATTCGAATATAACGTGCATGGATATTTCATAGAAAATTGACTTTCAATCAAACTAATATTTTCCCACTACCGTTATTTATTCGTCGCCAACAAAACCAAAATATCAAAAGGTTAATTGCCTAAATGGCCGGCGGATATTGTACACCTGCAACGAAGTTAGCTCAATCAGCGCAAATAACGGGAATTAACCCGGCATAGAAATTATTGGTGGTTATTTTCGAATGAGTACCAATATAATTTTCTAGAAGGTATTACCATTTGCCTGAATATTGATGAATTTTTGAAGGTAGGCACGAGGAGTAACCTAATATATTCTCTGTGTCTACTGATAGCCAAGCAGTACAGGATGCTTGACTTTATTCGTGCCTGATAATAAGAATCTTAGATAAAAATACATGATAGTTTATAAAAGTCAACCATCTAGAAGATCCCGAAACTATTTGTAGTCTAATGCTGGAACTTGCATTGCCCTAGGTAGGGTTGAGAGAACACAAATTCTGATATTTGTCATAGACTGTGCTCAAAATAATTCCTAAAAGTTTGGCCTCTAAACAATCCCTGTATTCCAGGACCAATTTGAAACTTTCACGATGACTTCCTCAATTCGTTACTAGTTCTTTACTCTTCCGGATATGTGTAAATGTAACCAAGTATAACATATATGTATGTATAAATACAAGCTGAGAGTATGTGCTGTAGAGGCATTTAAAATCTATACATCAAATGTCAACGAGGTTAGTGGCGGTGACACCGTTACTCCAACAGCCACAAACCGGCTGGTAACTGTAACCGCAGGACGACATAGAAAACAACAAAAATAGTGGAACTGCGGTCCTTGTATGAGTACGAGTACGCAGCAGAAAGTGAGTGAGTGTGTCCACCTGGGTAAAGCTGTTAAAACTAATTGGGTGATAAATTCATTGCAAAATGTATAACTATTCGAATGGTGCAACGAAGCGGCACACGACTACTACAAAGTCTAAAAATCAACAAGCGGCAGTAAGCAGGTGTATACGAAGGTAGGTGGTTTATGCAATGCAACTGAGTTTCGGGATCCCGAAAACACGAGTTAAAAATTTCGGGATCCCGAAAGTTAAAATTTTTTTTAAATTGTATTTTTATTTTGACAATTTTTTTTATTCATTTTTTATTAAAAGTTATTTACTATAAAATAAAGTAAATTTTGTTTGTTAAAAAAAAATGTTGAAAGCGCGTTTTGAAAATTTGGGGATACCGATTTTGGCTTAAGCTTTACTATTATTTTGCGGAGCTTATATTCGTTTCATAAAATAAATTATTTACAATATTTTAAATTATAAACAAAAACTTTCTTGAATTAAAACATATTGATACAATGCTTGATTTAAATTATTGCTATAATAAATTTGAACACTTTGAAACGAAGTGCGTATTTCAGAAACATAAAAATAATGATACTTTAGAATCTAAATATCGTTAAATGAAACTACCGAAATTTCGGGTTTAATCGGTATTGATTATCTCAGTTGTTTCTAATTGGAAATGGAAGTGTTAGAAAGGACTGTGTGCTTTTAGAAGTAAAATGTGTGATGCTATTGCCCTAACGGTGGTTCTGTATATATTTATTTATACATCCGTTATGTACATATGTTTGATTTGGCACCCATTTGCATTAGTTTTACCTTTGCCGAGCCGCATGGGTTTGGCAATAGCTGTCTAGACGAGCGGACGAGTTGTAGTCGTGTAGTCGTGAACATTAGAACACACACACACTTACATATAAACACCCAACACCGTTGACAAAAATTGCAAAAGCTTAAAAATACATTCGCTCTCGTAAAATAAACAAGAGTGTGGCGCTAATATTTTTGAGGTCACAGCTGTGGGGCATTCCAACACAAGCCCAGCTCAACTCTCTGCTCTATCATCAACGGTGTAGTTGCCTATCTTCATGGCAGACACCGTTTCATGTCATCATTCTTTTGTTAGCTGCGGTAAAGAACCGAAAATGGCGAAAGCGGCAAAGAATACATGAAACATTTAAATTACAACAACAACGCAAGCGAAATTAGAAAGTAGAACGGCAAATATGCATGGCAACCCTTTCGCAAATAGCGCCGAAACAATACAATAAGTGGTGCGCTCGCATTTACTCGACACGAAAATAACGGTGAAAAAAATTGCAATACAAAAAGCTGACAGCAACAACAAAAACAAACGTAAATCAACAAAAAAGCGCAGTCATTTCGTAATCATCGTCGTTTATGCCTGAATAATGTTAACAAAATAGTTTACGACATTGGTGACAAGTCGACATCGCGTGCGCTAAACGGTTGGGTAAGGTGAGCGAGAGGGAGCAAGGTGGTAGAACCAAATATTTGAGCGTGTGTGGGGAATTGAGACAGACAGGTTGGTTAGCTCTACTAGGATTTATGCATGTGTATTCAAACGAAGCTATCTACTACTATGAGCCACATTTTGGTATGGTGTATGTGTGTTTTGCATGTGTGTGTATGTGCGTGTGAGTGTCTGCTGTGCATTCGCCTGTTTAGTTTTATGAGTTTCTGCATAAATGGTTATGGCGCATATCCGGTTTGTTAGCATGTAAAAAATGTCTAGAATGCACCCACTGTCAACACATCGGTAGAGTTGCCGAGTGCCAGTAAATTGTTGTTGCGTGTATCGGTTTCAGAAAATGGAATAACAAAGATTACAAAAGAATTTATTTTTGT